GCACTTCCAGCGCTGCATCCGTTTGTTGAAACATCTCAATTGGTATTCCATCAGTTCCCGGAGACTTGTTTTTCGCCAATGTCTTCAGTGCAGCTTGGACTTCTTTCTTCAGTGCCATCGGTTCCTGCTCATATGCTACCTCCTGAAAATGGTTGAACGTCAACCAATTCTTTTTGGTATTGCTATTTCTTAATAGCAAAAATGAAACCCTGAAAAGAGTAGAAAATATTTTCAAAGTACTAATAGAAAATAATTGTTAGCCAACATTTGCATATCTGAAGTATCTATTAATAAAACAAGTTAATATGCAGAATTTTTTCCAACATAGAAAAAAATATTGTTGTTGTTAGGTGCTGTGGAGTCAGTTCTGACTCATAGTGCCCTATATACAACAGAAAGAAACATTGCCCAGTCCTGCACCATCCTCATAATTATTGTTATGCTTGAGTCCACTGTTGCAGCTACTGTGTCAATCCATCTTGTTGAGGGTCTTCCTCTTTTTTGCTGACCCTCTACTTTGCCAAGCATTATGTCCTTCTCCAGGGACTGATCCCTCCTGATAACATGTCCAAAGTACATGAGATGTAGTCTTGCCATCCTTGCTTCTAAGGAACATTCTGGTTGTACTTCTTTCTAGTTCACCTAGAAGTCTTTTCATGAGTTATAATTGAGTGAAAAGAAATGAAGTACAGAAAAGTGTCTTGAATATGATTCCATTTGTTAAAACCACTGAATTTAATAAAAACTCCAAATATGTGTGTGTGCATAATGATACAAAAACTTAATTTACCATCAGAGGTTGCTAAGGAACCAATTCAACGTTTTGAAAGTGGTACCTTGAGAGAAAGACACAAGCATCCTGCCCTTCCTGTATGAACTGTACCACTGAGTAACCACAGATGAGGGAAGTTTATCTTCAAAGAAGCACTGCAGCTGAGATGGAGGCACGCCAGCTGAAGGAAGAATTATAGAATTAGACTGGATCTTCTTCCCTGTAGAATCTTTCTGACAATCTAAGTTTGCTGGTTGCATCCTGGTGGTGCTGGTCATTGTGTTCCTCTCTCCACTGATTCCTGTCAATGGGTGGTTGGATCTAGAGGCTTGGTCAGATTTCCATTGTGGTTATTGTTGTCATCATCATCACACAGACTACGTACCTTATGGGTGGTGTGGGCTCTGCTTCAGGAAGCACATGGGGTCTGGTTCTCTGTGTATTGTTATCAATCGTTATGATCATTGCTTATGTTCATTAATTCATTATGGGTTGTATGCAGTTCTACTCTGTCCTATAGGGTCACTATGAATTGGAATCGACTTGAAGGCAATGGGTTTGGTTTTTTGGTTTTATATACAAAGACAGAAAAATTGACTCAGAGAGACATTCACAGTGCGAAGTGAAAAAATCAAATTGCAGAATGAATATCGTGATCTAATTTTTAGAAAAGACACAAAAATAAAACAAATGTCACAAGAGCCCACCCACTCCAGAAGAGATCCATACCTAGGTGTTAATCTGAGTTTTTCCTGGGTTAAAGCGAAGATGTCTCCCTTTCTACTTTATCATTCTTAATTGTTTGAATTTCTTCATATGGGTATTCATTTTGAATTTTAAAACACAGAGAATGTTAAACATGTTTGTCGGCAAAAAAAAAAAAAAAAAAAAAATGCAGAGAAGAGCTTGGAGGTGACCTTCTTTAACTCTTTAATGCTCTGGTGTAAGATGCTGAGGGGGGCTGCCCAGTAGAGAATGTTCCTAGATTCCTGGGGCAGGAATTTCCCCACCAGGTCACTTTTTCTCCACCAAAATGGTGGAGATGTGTAGGTGAGGGAGGGATGGGGAGAGGCTCTGGGCCCAGGAGGACCCGCTGTTACCCCATGAGGGGGCCTCTCCAGTGAGAGCTACCAGGTCTGTCTGAGGTTCTGTGCTTGTCTCCTGCTTCCCTCAGGGGGCCCCTGAGGGACTTCTGCGCTTCGACTTGGAGGCAAGGGGGTCCAACCAAAGATGGTGACAGGGATCCAGGGGGCCAGGAGTCCCAGCACACTGAAGCCCTGAACACAAACAACCAACCCTAATTGGCCATGTGGGGCCTGAGTCCCAGCCGTGCCAGGCACAGAGGAAAGTCCCTACAGTGACTGCATGGTGCAGGCTCCCTGATATTGTGCCACCCGGTAACAGGGACCAGGCATGGAGGAGCTGAGCCTCCCTGCCTCCACCAGGACCCAGCAGCTTCCTGCACCAGAACCTGGAACGCCCAGACCCAGCTGGGACCCAGGTACCCCATATTCCCCCTTCCCTAGATCACTTTACTGCAGAGAGGCCAGCACTGGAAGGGCGGGGCAGGGGTCCTCAGTGCCAGATCATCACCACCAACACAGACCAGGAGTCAGGAGCCTGGTAACCTGAGCACAGGTCCTGGCTGTGTGGCCTTGGGTGAGTTGTGATGGTTATGATAATTACAGGGGACTGTGGTGAAAGCGCTCAGCAGGGTGTGGGGTGCAGTTGCCCTGACAGTGGGTTCCCAGGAGGACAGAGGAAACTGACTTCACCCCTGCCCAGCTGAGCGCTTACTGAGAGCTGCCCTTGGCCTCCAGGACAATGGGGTAATACTCGCTCAAGTTCAATGTGAACAGAAGTACTCAGGGATCTTGTACAAACGCAGGCTTGGAGTCAGGGGGCCCAGGATTCTGCACTCTTCACAGGCTCCCAGGTGATGCTGAGGCTGCCAGTCCTAAGAACTCTCTCTGAGGACTAGTTGAATGAAGGAGCATGGGGTGTCGTCACAGGTCTTCCCCACCAGGAAGGCATTTCCGCAGCTCAGCTAAAGGCTGGTCTACTGAGCCCCCTGCAGCCCCAGGGTCAGCCAAGCCAGCGAGAGTGACAGGCCTGTGTGTTTTCCAAAGTGAAATAGGGAACTTGGCTTTGCAAACGAAAATACCAACAGTCCTCCAGGTACCCATGTCCTGGGCTGTCAGGCTTGTGAGGAGCTGGAGGCCCCCAAGCGGAGTTACTTGTCTGGGAAATAGCCACAGGGACATTAAACTGAGGGCCTCAGGGCAGAAGGAGCAAAGTGAGCTCATTTGCTGGGCTGCTGGACAGATGGGTCACAGTTGTCCTCACTGTATGCGAGAGAGTGC